AAGCTAAGCAAGTGCAGCTTCTAGCAAAGGGAGATAGGATTCCTTGGGCATGTTGTTTCAGAAGCAGGAGTGGCAGTAGATCCTGAGAAGATCACTGCAGTGACCAAATGGCCCGTGCCTAAGGGTGTCGCTGAGGTCCGCAGCTTTTTGGGTCTGGCAGGCTATTATCGCAAGTTTGTGCCGAATTTCTCTAGAATTTCAAAGCCGCTCACAAGTCTAATTGGAAAGAATGTGAAGTTTGAGTGGACATAGAAGAGATCCCAGAGTTTTGAGGAGCTGAAGAAGAGCCTCACAGAAACTCTGGTGTTGGTACTCCCGAGGACAGGAATACCTTATGATGTATACACTGATGCCTCTGGATCCGGATTAGGATGTGTGCTTATGCAGGAAGGAAAGGTCATAGCATATGCATCCAAGCAACTCCGGAAGCATGAAGTGAACTATCCAACTCATGACTTAGAGCTAGCCGCTGTAGTTTTTGCTCTTAAGATAAGGCGTGCCTACTTATATGGAGAGAAGGTGCACATATTCACAGATCACAAAAGTTTAAAACATGTGTTCACCCAGAGTGATCTGAACCTGAGGCAGAGGAGATGGATAGAGTTGTTGGCAGACTATGATCTAGAGGTTTCATATCATTCGGGAAAAGCTAACCATGTAGCTGATGCCTTGAGTAGAAGGAGGAGTGATGTTTCTGAGATCAAAGAAACCCAGGAACTGATAGCAACAATGGCGAGGTTGAGTTTGTGTGTTGCTGAAGTGGAGGATGACGCCGCTGGATTAGAAGCATTGGATAATGCTGACCTGTTGTGGAAAATCCGGCAAGAACAGGGAAAAGATTTGGCTTTGAAGGAAATGTTTGACAAGCAAGTGGTTGGGTACCACCAGGCAGATAACGGAACCTACATGTACAAGAATAGGGTTTGCGTTCCTAAGGATGATGAGCTAAGGAATGAGGTGTTGAGCCAAGCTCATCAGTCTAAATTTTCTATTCATCCTGGGAACACCAAGATGTATCGGGACCTGAAACGCTATTACCATTGGGCAGGTATGAAGCGTGACATTGCTGCTTGGATTTCTCAGTGTGCTACATGTCAGCAAGTGAAAGCAGAGCAAATGGCACCAAGTGGACTACTCCAGAACTTGCCATTACCAGAATGGAAATGGGACATGGTGACAATGGATTTTGTGACAGGGCTGCCAAGGACACTAAGTAAGAAGAATGCGATTTGGGTAATCGTAGACCGCTTTACTAAATCAGCTCACTTTGTGCCAATCAGAAAGACAGATGGGGCCGAGCAGTTGGCGCAAAAGTATATTGATGTGATTGTGAGGTTGCATGGAGTTCCAGTGAGCATTGTGTCTGATCGAGATCCGAAGTTCACAGCTAGTTTTTGGCAAGCATTTCAGAAGGCATTGGGAACAAAGGTTCATTTGAGCACAGCCTATCATCCTCAAACGGACGGCCAATCGGAAAGGACGATTAGGACCTTGGAGGACCTGCTAAGGGCTTGTGTCCTGGATTGGGAAGGAAGCTGGGAAAAGCATCTTCCTTTAGCACAGTTTGCTTACAACAACAGTTACCATGCCAGTATTGGAATGGCCCCGTACGAAGCTCTTTATGGGAGACCTTGTCGTACACCTCTCTGTTGGACGGAAGTAGAAGAGATGAGAGAGTTAGAACCAGAATTGCTGAGGGAAGCATCTGAGCAAGTGGAAATGCTTAAGATCAGGCTGAAAGAAGCCCATGATCGACAGAAAAGTTATGCTGATCAGCGAGGGCAGGAATTATCTTTTGAGGTTGGTGATATGGTCTACTTGAAGTTGAGAACCTTTAGAGGGAATGATGAGCATAGGAAATTGAAGAAGCTTAAGCCAAGGTACATGGGACCGTACCCTATTATCGAAAGAGTTGGAGAAGTGGCTTACCGCTTAGAGTTGCCCAAGGAGTTAGCTGAATTCCATGATGTGTTTCATATTTCGCTTTTGAGGAAAGTTGTGAGAGAGCCAGAGCTCATTTTTCCTCAGCCGCCATTAGATGTGAGGAAGAATTTCTCAGCAGTATATCAGCCGGTGGCAGTGTTGGAATTTCGGGAAATGGAGGTCAATGGTAAGAGGAAGCCGTCGGTTAAAGTTTGTTGGGAGAGGGATGGCATCCGCGAGGAAACCTGGGAGTTGGAACAGGAAATGCGGAAGGGTTACCCAGAGCTCTTTCAGGACAAGGGCCAAACCAGAGGTGTTGGAGAGAATTCGGGGACGAATTCCATGGAAGTTGGGGAGAGTTGGAACATCCCAATTCAGGCCCAATTGGGAAAAGCCCAACAAGACCAGGCCCGCTCCAGAAACCCTAATTTGCCCCCATATTTAAGTGGAGAATTAAATGAGAAGGAGCCTCATTCTCATTCTTTTAACCCTAGCCACCAAAGCAAACAGCAAGAGAGAGAGAAGGAGAAGCTCGCCGCCGCCGAGGGAGAGAAAGGAAGCCACCGCCGCCGCCTGAGCTCGCCGCCGCCGCCGTCTGAGAGGAGAACGAGTGGTCGTCAGCCTCCTCCTTCGCAGAAACTCCTTGATTCCTTTGCTACCAGTTCTCCTTAAGTCAGATCTGCTTTTAGGCCAAGGTGAGGATTAGATCTAGGTTTTCTTTTTATTATTTTGTCTTCTTCTGGTGTGTGGAGTCTAGATCTGATGAGCTAGGATGTTTCCTTGTGCATCTAGCTAGATCCATGTGTGAGTCTAATGAAAAGATCTAGGATCTCATTAGAGGAAGAACCAGCATGTTTGATTGTTCACCCTGATGTGTGGTTAGTGATTGGTAGTGTAGCTAGATCAGGTGTTCATTTCGGTGATGGTGTGCCGAGGTATGGACTTGTTTGCTGGGCTATTGCTGTCTGTGTGACTATAGCAGTAGTTCAACGGTGAGCGGAAGGTACGCCGATCCTTCCGGAGCCTGTATGGCTGGAGGTGTGTCTGTGTGACTGCCTGGTATTATGTCTGTGTGACATGGGAGATGATGTTCTAGTCTGTGTGACTAGAAGGTGTGGCCTTGTGTGATAGGCGGGTTGGAGACACCATTGCTTGCTAGTTGTTTGTGCATCGCTAGGATGCTTGTGTGTTGCTTGTTGGATTTATTACATGTTGGTGGAAAATGAATGAGTGGGAAGGGAGCCTCGTTTGGTTCTCACTGGGTAATTTCTCCAAATTACTCACTCCTCTCTTTTAAATCTATATTGCAGGTGAGTGTGATGAATGTGAGTGTGTCGATGTCTGGGAGGAACTAGACGAGTAGCTCTAGTGTGGTGTGCCTTCAGAGATGGAGGAAGATTTTTATCGCTTTAAGAACTATTTTTCGTATTTCCTTTCAAGACATTGTTTTCTGCTTATTTTCGGATTTATTCAAGTTATTTATTTTTATTGTAAGACTGAAATTGGTTTGATTTGGAATAAGAATTAAGGATTATTCAAGAATTACTGGTTAGGTTAGATAATATTGCCGGTTTAGTCTGGTTTCCTTTGGAACCCAGAACCGGGGTGTTACAAATTCACTATTTATTCTTATTGAGCGACCATACTCATTCATTTACTTTTGGCTAGTGATCATAGTCACCACTTTAGCTTTAGGGATTTTATTCTCCTTAATTTTGTAGCTAGTATAGTCAGTGCTCTCTTTTCAGGAGGTGTCTCTGATTTTTACTACATGACCATTTGTAATCCTTATTTCTTAGGTGGTGTGTGACCAAACCTAATGCAAATGTCCGAAGTCCGACATTTTATTCTAGTAGAATTTTTCTAATGATATTACCCTTTATTTAGCGTTTCTTTCTGAACATCACTTTAGGGTTCGTTCTTAGCAACCGTAATCACTTTAGTTTCCATTGAGGCCGTGCCTTAAGCTTGGCAATGACAGTCATAGCAGTCATCTGTACCGACGGCATCAGCCGTGGTCGCTGCTTGTCATGCTTTTAGAAGGTGTTACCTCTTATTTTACTGGCATTGACCATGGTTGTTCCATGTGCCTTTTCTTTGATTTGTTTGTAGTGACTGTTGTCAGTATCTTTTTGAGACAGTTACAACTTTTTGATAAAGTGGCCGTAGTCTCTAGTTTTCATTTGTTTGGAGGTCATGCCTCTGAAGTTTTGTAATGACTCATTACATTTAAGTGATCATCATCACTTCTCTTTCTAATTAATGAGCATTCAATGCTCTTGTTTCCTAGGAGGCTTTGCCTCTATTTTCCATTTAAGTGATCATCATCACGTAGCCATCAATCATTCTCGGGAGATCATTGCCCCCTACTTTATTATTTTTCAGTAGCTATTGTTACTAGTAGTCTCTAAAATACTTTTTTTAGCCAAATCGTCCTTTTCTTGTCTTCTAGATATTTTTGAGTAAACTACAATAGTCATTGATATTTTGGCGATTCTGATGGCTTCCTCTTACAGCGATAAAACTTTCTTTCATAGTGGTTGTAGCCACTTCTTTGTGAGCAATCGGGATTGGTTTTTACTCTTATTACAGAGACTTTGTATTCTCTGTATTGAAGCCACCATGGTCGCTACTAGTGGTTGGTAAGCATTGCCTCCGATTTTTTTTTTAGCAATGACTATCAACAATAAGCTTTGCTTAAGGTTTCTTGTATTTTTCAAGAAGCTTTGCTTCAGATCTTCACTTTTATTTTTCTAGAAGATTTGCTTCAGGTTTCTTTTTGCGGTGACCGTAGTCAACCAGGAATGTATTTCTTATAATAAATGTTTGGCATCCTTTTAGCTACAATCACCACTTTTATTCTATAGTAGGCTTTGTGTAGCACCCTAACCCGGATTTTACTTTTTAACTTATACTTAGACAAATTTGATCCGGATTTTTACGTAGTATTTTTCATATTTGGTTTGTTTAGACAGTTTTAGCCGTGCATAAGTAGATTAAAGACAGAATACTTGAATTAAATCGAGGTTCTCAATACAATGATTGTTCGCATATAAGCTATTACATCGAGTAAGACTTTAACTACCCGATCCTACCATCCATTCTTTTCCAGCCTTAATCTGCGCGCGCTGATCAGACATCTTTACCTGCATCCACAAAGGAGGCATAAGCAAACAGAACTGCTTAGTGAGAGCGGTCATCCCGTCTCACCGAGCCAAAGTATAATCGCTAAGCAAAAATCGAGCCCAATGCTCATCAGAACAGAAAACTACCCGCGCATGACCATACACGCTTACCCGGCCGATCATTCAGAAACCAGACAAGCCTCGGCGAGCATCACAGCCGCGAGCGCCTTGCCTGATCTAGATCGCCGATAAGGTGGATCGATCATCACGGCATAGCCAGCAGAAATGTCATGACAAGCACAGAATATACACGCAACCAACTAGAATCTAAGCAAGAATACGACCAAACTAGGCCACAGTCACGCACTCACCTTAGCTTTTATCGGACAGATTCGGTAAAGACAGAAATCTCGATCGCTCCCTTCTTTAGGATTTTTTCCTCTATTTATATAAAGAATCCAGCATCTTTTTCTTCTTATCATAATAAGAAATCGTTACTAAATATTATTTAGAATTGGTCCATTCTGAATATATCAAATCGATCTGGTAGATTACTCAAATCTTAGGGATATTTATCACTTTTATCATATAATTATCAAGTTTAACACGTGATACAATTAATCAAACAAGTGAATAGAAGGTCTCGACCATATTCGGACTTCAGGTTACATTTCATCCAAGCCATAAATTAGCTTTTCGTAATGACTTTACCGCGTCTGAGGTCTGTTTCGCCAAGAAATAAAGGAAGGTGGTAACTCATCATTTCTGATAAAAAGAACAAAACATATGTAAGTGTAAAACTTAATTAATAGCAATAAATATATCGAGAAAAACTGAAAACCTGGCATGTTAGTTTTCTAAACCAACGATGGAGCTAAATGGACTCTATTAAGAAGTACTATGCTATACATTTGTCCACAGTCGGATAACTATATATAGTTAGTATTAGCTAGGGTTTTTAAACTACCAAACCAAACCTGTTAAAAAATATATGTTTACTTAATATGAATATCTCCTAATAAGTCAACTATAAAAATAAGAAGGAAAAGTTGAAAAAAAATATATGACACCATAAACTTCTGTAGTTATAAATATGATGAGCCAAAACTAATTAATATTATTCATTTAACAGAATAGTTGATTCAATATAAAATAGAAAATATAAACAGTTACCAAATATATAAGTAAATTGTTTTACTTAAGTAGTAGATATCAGTATATTTTTTTGTATTGAAAAGTGGAAAAAAAGATCGAACATAAATATAAGAAAATATGCTTTGGTATTTGGAAACAATACTGGTTGGAAATATGATGAACCATCAAACTACTTAATAGGGATAATTTTACTGTATAAATAATTTAAATATATTAACAAAATCTAACAACCTACCATATAGTTCGTTAAAATTTGGAAGCTTTATAAATTTTTGCATAACTTTATATTTTCCTCTTCTTTGAACAGTTAATACCTTTTTGCATAACTTTATATTATTGCATAACTTTAAATTTTTCATACTATATAAAATTGTCACATATAAATGCATATAAAAATAATAAATATAACTTACCGCTAAATTAGGGAAAACGATATAGATAAACAGTTCGACTTCCACTTAATAGGTTTATATTTGTTATTCATTTTGGTTTTCAAACCTTAGATACACCAATGTTAACAAAAATTATAATGAATAATTAATTATTTTTTTTGGTTATAGGCATGTCAATTCTATCGTCACACTATGTACTTAGTGTGGAAAGTGATGGATGACAAATAACAATGAGAAAAACTACGTATAATAAACTGATTCTTCACAGATGCACAAAAAATGGTTAAAAATTAAAATTATATTTTTTTCTTTGGCTAACAAAAATATTTTTTGTACATCTGTGAGAATTCATATCAGAATATCAGTTGTATTATCGGTAATATGATGAAACTTCTACTGTGCTGTTTATTTATATAGTAAATAGAGAGTGAACACTCATGTTTTTCTGTGTGTTTCATATTATCCAAATGTATTCTGCAATAAAAAAATATTAAATAACATTTGACCGAAATATCACAACTTCCCAAATAAGATGTTTTCATATCACAACTTCCCGAAATATCACAACTTTCCAAATAAGAGGTTTTCTTAAATTTAAATATACCTTGTAGAATGTTATTTAATTGGCTTTCTATAACTGTAAACTATATTTATGTCTTATAAGTAAATGTTCATTTCTGTATAAATATTCTGTAACTAGGTGGTAGCCCGCACCATGTGCAGGTGGAAATGTGTTAAAAATGAGTCTTTTACTTGTTCCGAAAGTGATGATCACACACTCTAATTTTTTATAAATTTGAACAGTTAATATTGATGTATAAAGAGATCGTATTTAGCTGTTTAACTTAAACAGACGAAAAAGCTAATACTGTGAGTAATTTACATAATACTATCGAACGTGAAAATAAGCAAACGTGTAACTAATCAAACTAAAAAAACCACACCAAAGGCAAAGAGAGTACCGATCCAATATCCCAAGACCCCAAGATAGAATAGTTGATGTGGTTTTAAATTTGCTAAAAAAATAATGTCAGAAGATTTAACACAAAATATAATTGGGTGATTAAACAAACATAAATATAGCAACAATGTTAGGAGCACAAGCAATTTCCCGCGGTCAGGAGCATCCCGACCGCGGCAAACCACTCGTCCCCCGCGGTCACACTTGTCCCGACCGCGGCCAGCCAACTTAGAGCCCAAAATCCCATTTCTGAAGCCCACAATGATTCCCTTATTTGGAGAAACCCTAAGTGACGTCCAGAGAGGTCTTGAGCACTATAAATACATGTCTTAGGAACCCTAATCGATAATCAATCTATCTTTCTTATTGTTTTAGAATACTTGTTTTGCTTTAGCTTTTAGGGAGAGAGAGATTTGTTCTCTTGAACTCTTGTTCTTTCTTTTTCAATTTCGGTTTCTATTCTACTTCTTAATACTATGCTTTTGATTTCGTTCATTATGTCTGAGTAGTTTTATTGTTGGGATTAAGGGATTTTCGATGGGGATTTATATGTTCGATGAGGATTCCATGAGCTTTTGAGCCGAATCTTAGAACTTTTTCTTCTGAATTCGTTTTTACTGCATGAGAGTAGCGTCATGAACTACAATCTGATCCAGATGCTTGGTGACACGAAAATGTTCATCAGATATCAAATCTAGTTTGGGAGAGCAAAACAAACATAGGAGTGGAAACCTACCTATGGGCGATTTGTGAATTAGGACGAGTCTTAAACATAATGCATCTCTTCTCTTCCAGGGCCAGAGTGGAAACCTACTGGTCAGGGTTGAGAGAGATAATTGTCTATGATCACGACAGTGGCGTATTCATACGTCCGTGACTCCAGTTCGAAAAGTTTAAGCTAAGATCTTATCAATTTTACTCTTTAGCAATGTTTTGAATCGTTCGTACCCCTGAGAAAACTTCCCTGAACCCCAACGCCTTCTTTCTCATTGATTTACACCGTTTTTATTTCAATCTTTAGTTCAATATTGTCTTTCCTTTTTAGTTCATTTTCATTTAAGCAATTAGATATCCGTTTTTTACATTTTTAGTCATTTTCATTAAGTTTAGTTATTACGTCATTTAATTCCCGTATTCTCTTTTAATATTTCGTTTTTACATTTTAAACACACTACCAAACTCCCACAAAACCGTTTTGGTTCTAGACTTCCTTACTTTATACTTATTTCAAACGCTTTTTGCAGGAAAAGATCCTCCTTCCCTGTGGATTCGATCCCTAAGTACTACAATCGATCAGCTGTGCACTTGCGGCTATTGATTTCATTTAGGGTAAAACTTGACACCCTCAACACCGACACAACATCAAGTTTTTGGCGCCGTTGCCGGGGAAGGCACGCGTTTTCTTTTCTGCAAAACCCCGAGAAAGGTTAGTAAATCGACTCTAGAACCCCCTTTTCTGCAATTTTCCATTTTTCGGTTATTTTGTTTCCATTTCAGAAGATATGGATCCTATAAATCGAAATAAAAAAAATGAGGAAGGTTTCTATAACACTCCTCAAGCCACCAGACGCAGAGAGAAGCATCTACCCGAAATTTGAGATTTTTCTAAGGCAAACTGAGCTTCCTCTTGTGTTGAATCCTTCCGGGAACTCTTCCGGCAAATCGCAGGTCTCTGTCCTTGGTGACTGAAAACTAGGTCGTTCCTCTTTCTCTCCAACGTTTTTGCACTTATCTGCATATAAGACAATAGAAAACAAGAGTGCATGTGGTTTGAAAGAGGATTGGTTAAGGTGGGGAACTAGCTAAAGATGAACTAGCCATTCAGGATCAACAGAGAGTGGTAAAAGGATAAAGGAGTCCTGAATATATGATTCGTTTCCCTGGTCTAATGCTTCAATGAGAAAATTAAGTCCAAATTAAGTCCAAATAAAACAGAGCTAGTGTATCCCTTCATCTAAATCGAAATTATTCAAATTTCTCTGGGGTACTTCGTTTCAAATGTGCTTAGCTACCGCCTAGTCTAGTCCTAAATCATGAATGAGCATGTCACTAGGAACAGTCTAAAGCACACAGTCAACTATCATTGATTCATGTTCACCATTCCTTTTTAAAACGTATTTTGTTTTGAAAACCGATTTTGAAAAACTTTAAGGAAAATGCAAAAAGTGTAGATAATGCAAGACTCATGAAAGAAAAGTGGTTAGAAAAGGATGAAATCCTCCCCCAGACTTAAATCACACTGTCCTCAGTGTGAAACAAGTCGAGATTGGATGAGAAAAATGCATAGATAATCGAATTGGTAAGAACAAAGAGAACTTACCTGGATCCGGGATGCTGGTGGAGATGAACCGGATTCATTCGAAGGGGTTTGGGAAGGTGATTAGGTGGTGATGAAGGTGGTGGAAGGTGATGAATGAGGTGGAAGGTGAAATGGGGTGAAAGGGGTGGTTTGGGTCGGGTTTGGATCTCAACGACCAAGTGTCGCGGTCAGGGGCCATACGACCGCGGTGAACCATTGCTTGGCCGCAGTCAGGATCACGCGACCGCGGTCGAACATGTGTTTCCTGCGGTCCGAACACCTGCGACCGCGGGGGCTTATATCGCGGCCTCTTCCTGCTTCTCCTTGGTTCCTGCTGGGCCGAGCAGTCAGGTACCATCCTTCTTTTTGGTTTTTTCTGGTTTTTTGATTTTTTTGGCTTTTTTGTTTTATAAGAAACACCTGAAATTAAGAAAAAGAAAAAGATCAAAAGAAAAAGAAAGAAAAATTCTAAAGAAAACAATACCTAAATGGGTTGCCTCCCATTAAGCGCTTTTGTTTTAAGTCGTTTAGCTCGACTTTTGGTGTTGGACGTGACTTATTCCAATGAAGAAGACTTTGTCCTGAGACAAGTCTTTTTCGACATCTCCTTGCTTTGCCTAGCAGGTTCTTCGTCACTCCAAAGTTCTTCTTCAAACTCTTCTGTTGCAGAACGTTTTCCTGCTTTGCTGTTGTATGGAACAGCTTCTGTGAAGACATCTTTGTCGATATTAGCAAATGAAATCCTCCGGTTTGGCCAGTCCATTATAGCTCCGGAAGTTGCTAGAAAAGACCATCCCAGAATTACTGGATATGTTGCATCTCTCGTTTCGACAATGTAGAAATCGACAGGTACTATGCAATCTCCTATTCTCAAAGGAATTTCATGAGCTATTCCTTGAGGTGTTGCATTGGAATCATCAGCTAGACTAATTTTTGCTCTAGTCCTGCGCATGTGTTTAATACCAAGTCTCAAAGCAATTGCCTTGGACATCATGTTAAAACAAGCTCCAGAATCACATAGCACGTTTTTAAACATTTATCCTCTAATAGAACAAGAGATAAGAAACTGACCTACACCATCGATTTTGTGAAGTGTTCGAACAGGTTTACCTTTTCTTGCATGATTGAACAAGTCTTCTATCTCAGGGATTGATTCTTTGCTCTCACAGAAGTAGTGGCCTATCATAAAGTCCTTGCAAGCTCTGGCAAACGTGATTCCTTCAGGCAAATTTCGAACCACATCATTGAATTCGTCGAGCTTCTCTTTGCTGATTTTGTTGGTGTAGTGGCTGCACTCTTCCGGTCTTTGGAGGTGGATTGAATAAACAGCAGCATCAGGTGATGTCCTGGGAAAAGTCAGACGTCTGGCCCTCCCAAAATAGGTTCTGATATCCTCCTTTGTCTCCTTGCTGTACCTAAAGAAAACTTGCAAACAACCAAGATGCCATATATCAGCGAAACCTGTGTAAAGAGAGATCGATTTCACAAACTTGTTAAATTCAACGAGCCTTTCTCTGGAGATTGGTGCTCCTAATTCCACCATTTTGTCTGGATTTCCTCCTTCTATTAACAGACGATAGTCTTCGTCCTCGATGTAGTGCCCTTCATATTCATCCTCATATGCTAAAACTATGTTGCAAGGGAGTACCTCATTTTCTTCTTGAGATATTTTGGAGCTGATAGCATACACCGTTTGTTCCTGAAGAGGGGTTTTGACCATCCCAGCAGATGTATCAAATGAGCATTGACCTTTAGGAGTGGAAAAGGGCTGAAAGGCATCTGAAGGAGTGCTGGCCGCGGGTAGAAGCTTCACGACCGCGGGTGAAGAGGGCTTTGCCGCGGTCATGATGCTCACGACCGCGGCTGGAAGCTTGTTGGCCGCGGTCACGAGCGTGCCGACCGCGGGAATGAGGCTCCGAGTTGTTTCCTCCGTTTCGTCTGCTCCTTTGCCATCTGAACTGATTTCTGCACCTTTTAACTCTGTCTCCTCCTCTTTTAGGATAAGATCTTCGATGAGAAGCGTCGAACCATTCGTTTCACGTCCTTGCATAAGCTTTTCGACCTTCTTTTCGGTTTCATCGAGGGTATAAACTACTTTGTCCACGGTTGAGTCTATTGCCTCCGCTTCCTCTTGAACCTTGTGTACTCCAACCCAAATCTCTTCCACATAGGAATAGGTTTGGTTGTTATGGTAGTTAATAGTCTCTTGTGCTTCACCAAGTTTGATCTCTAAGATGCGGATGCTCCAATCGGCTTTGCGAATGCGAACTTCGTGTGCTCCAACTCGTTCTTCGATTGCTTTCATCCTCTCCTGGACGGTTTCAGCACCTTCGTTTAGCTGGCTTTCGATGGTCTTGACTTGAGCTGAAAGATCTTCAAGCTTTCTGTTAAAGCGTATTGACAAGTCGTCAATTTTCTCGTCGATTGTGGATCTTGCTTGAACATCGAGTAAGTGCAAGACCGCCAATTCTAGTAGTTCCAATCGGTGAATGGGTTGGACGTTTTCATTCTTGTGAGGCAGACGACGAGCAGGTTGTTCAGGGTTGGTCATTTGAGGTGCGTAGGGATCTTTCTGGAACGTTCTGTTGTCCCTCTAGTCTTTCTCTCTTTAAAAGGCATTTCCTTTCCAAAAAAAAAAAAAAAAAATCCGAAAATAAGAAAAGAAAGGAAATAAAAGCCTTAGAGAGTCTAGAGAGGTCGAGTTTTAAGTCCCAAGGCAACTGAAGTTTGATTTTAAGGAGTTTTGGAGATTGTTTTCTGATTCCCGGAAAGAATCTATGTCTGGGGGAACAGCTGTTCACAACAAAGGAGGAAGGATTATGCAACAACATTTGGCAAGAAGAAGTGACTGAAAACTGTGGTCATCAACAGGTCCTTATCTCTCTTGCGGTTTTGCATATTATCTTGCATCCTCCAGATCTTCAGGTAACCCGAAACACTTCAACTCCACCACTTAAATAGCCCTTTAATGCCAAACGCCGTCTACCCTGGATGATGTCTTTAATGAGAACTCACTATTGAACTTAATGAATGTAGAGAGCTAGTTGACTGAAATCAAGATTTAAATTGTTTAAGTTTTGCATGACGGAAAAAGTGGACTAGTATCTCTTGTGCATTGGTGAGAATTTTCTAGACTAAGTTGTGGATTGATGCACTATCTTTTGTCCTAGTTTTAGAGTTCATGTCTATGAAATTTGTGCATTCCCTATTTTTGTTCTTAACAGCACCGATCTTAACCCTTCTTGCTCCTAACTCCGGAATTCCTCTAGATCTATAACCATATTGATCTAATGAATAACTAGCCTAGAACAAAGATTTAACAGAAAGGGGTTTACTCTTGATAACACCGTATTTTGACCACTTTTATGGATCGTTTTGAAATACTTTTTCTATGTTTTGAAATGCTTTTAAGTACTTTTATCACGTTTTTCTAATATTTGTAGTTCCAAAACTCTTTTCAGGTAACTTAGGGAAAAGATTAACAAAATGGATAGAAAACCAGATTTCAGCTCAGAGTCAAACCGTCAGAATTTCACCCCTGATTGAAGGCCTTCTCACCGTCTGATCCAGCTCAAATTTGGAGACCTTAAAGATGGAAGTATCAGCTTTCCAGTGCACTTTACAGCTTGGCAATCCAACGGTTCAATCAAAAGATACGCGAAGAGCAAGATGTCCCGTAAACCAGCCGGCAAGCACTTCCACCCACGGCCAACAAGCAATTTTCCGCGGTCAGGAGCATCCCGACCGCGGCAAACCACTCATCCCCCGCGGTCACACTTGTTCCGACTGCGGCCAGCCAACTCCGAGCCCAAAAGCCCATTTCTGAAGCCCACAATGATTCCCTCATTTGGAGAAACCCTAAGTGACGTCCAGAGAGGTCTTGAGCACTATAAATACATGTCTTAGGAACCCTAATCGATAATTAATCTATCTTTCTTGTTGTTTTAGAATACTTGTTTTCCTTTAGCTTTTAGAGGGAGAGAGATTTATTCTCTTGAACCCTTGTTCTTTCTTTTTCAATTTCGGTTTCTATTCTACTTCTTAATACTATGCTTTTGATTTCGTTCATTATGTCTGAGTAGTTTTATTGTTGGGATTAAGGGATTTTCAATGGGGATTTATATGTTTGATGAGGATTCCATGAGCTTTTGAGCCGAATCTTAGAACTTTTTCTTCTGAATTCGTTTTTACTGCATGAGAGTAGCGTCATGAACTACAATCTGATCCAGATGCTTGGTGACACGAAAGTGTTCATCAGGTATCAGATCTAGTTTGGGAGAGCAAAACAAACATAGGAGTGGAAACCTACCTATGGGCGATTTGTGAATTAGGACGAGTCTTAAACATAATGCATCTCTTCTCTTCCAGGGCCAGAGTGGAAACCTACTGGTCAGGGTTGAGAGAGATAATTGTCTATGATCACGACAGTGGCGTATTCATACGTCCGTGACTCCAGTTCGAAAAGTTTAAGCTAAGATCTTATCAATTTTACTCTTTAGCAATGTTTTGAATCGTTCGTACCCCTGAGAAAACTTCCCTGAACCCCAACGCCTTCTTTCCCATTGATTTACACCGTTTTTATTTCAAGCTTTAGTTCAATATTTTCTTTCCTTTTTAGTTCATTTTCATTTAAGCAATTAGATATCCGTTTTTTACATTTTTAGTCATTTTCGTTAATTTTAGTTATTACGTCATTTAATTCCCGTATTCTCTTTTAATATTTTGTTTTTACATTTTAAACACACTACCAAACTCCCACAAAACCGTTTTGGTTCTAGACTTCCTTACTTTATACTTATTTCAAAGGCTTTTTGCAGGAAAATATCCTCCTTCCCTGTGGATTCGATCCCTAAGTACTACAATCGATCAGCTGTGCACTTGCGGCTATTGATTTCATTTAGAGTAAAACTTGACACCCTCGACACACCCTCAACACCGACACAACATCACTTCATGTTATTTTTCTTAATTTCTTAATCATCTTGGGCTTCTTGTTTTTTATAATCTTTGTCTTCTTCGGTTTCTTCTTCTTCTTTTCTTTTGTTTTTTATCCGTCTTGCTTTTGTCCTTCTTCCTTCTTATAATTCATCACATTTTTCTTCTTTGTTTTCTTTAATTTCTTGGTCTAAGTCTCTCTTAGCTTCCTTTCCCATCTTCACCTTCTCATACTTTGTTATCTTCAACTTCTGTTTTCCTTCCTTATCTTGAACATATATGTCCTCGTATTTTTCGAGTTTTTCTTAATCAGCTCTCTCTTCTTCTCCTCCTCTTTTTTTCTCTCATCTTCCTCGTTTCCTTCTTCATCTTCATCGTCTACAACTTTGACTTCTACTTCTTTAACGTCTTTTTCTTCTCCAACACCTGCTTCTTCTTTTAATTTTTTTTCTTCGTTTTATTTCTTCTGAGTTTTCTTTAATCTATCATTCTTACTTATCTCGTCTTTGTCTTCTTCCTCTTCTGCTTTGTCTTCCTTTTCTTCTTCTTAGTCTTCCTCGTTTCCTTCTTCATCTTCATCCTCTGCGACTTTGACTTCTCCTTCTTTATCGTCTTTGTCTTCTCCAACACCTGGTTCTTCTTTTGAGTTTTTTTTAATCAATCATTTTTACTTATCTCGTCTTTGTCTTCTTCCTCTTCGAATTTTCTTCTTCTTTTTTCTTATTTTCTTTGACTTATTTTTCACAATATTCATAATCTCAACTTCTTCTGTTTTCCACTTTCTTACCGCCCCCCCCCTCTTCTTCCTCTTATTCGTCTACTACTTTGTTTTCTAATTTGTATTCTGTTTTCTCTAACCTCTCAAGCGTTTTCTTATTCTTCTTCAACTTCCCCATCTTGTTATCCTTATGCGTCTTCATTAGTTTGGGTTATCCACCTTTTTATTTTTCTTTTAGGAACTAATTGATATGACTTTGTCTTTGTCTTTTTGACTTCTTCGTCGTCTATTCGTCTTCTTTTCTGCTTCTTCTTCTTTTATATCCTTTGACTTCTTTTTTCTCTTATTTTGAATAGGATTTACAATTGATAGTTGTATTGATTTGTACAGAATCAATTTCCTTAAAGATAGTATAATAATTCTTGTGCAATAAAAAAAGAGAACGTAAGATTTGTGGGCTAACATGTTTTTTTCATCGTTGTTTGCTCTGATTATGCTACTTCTAATAAGGTTTTGTAAGACTTTTTCCATTCAATCAAAATCAAATTCAGATGAAACACTTTTAAAATACACAACTTTTCAAAAACGATATCTCATTGCTCTCATTGGAAATTTGACCATAATGTCCATTTCACATGTATAAAAAAATAATAAAATGATCAAAAGTTGCAACAAAGCTGTAGAAGTTCAGGACCAAATTTTCCGTCATGCTTATTTCCTATTTTTTTCTCTTAGTTTACTTTCAACCATCTTGGCCATCTCTTCATTCTCCTTCTTCATATCAGTCGCACATTTTTTTGACATCAAATTAAACAGCTTCAAACTTTCAAGTATTATTTTCTTCTAGCTTACGTTCATGAAACGACGTATATATTTAAATTATATAAATTTAAAAAACAATTACAATTATGTTGTAAATCAGTTATCAAGAGAGAGAGGAAATTGGTGTGTCTTATTCCAGGAATAATGAGAGGTATATATAGTATTACAAAGACCTAGTTATCACCACAAGTTTCCGATGTGGGACAAATACAATAGTAGTTATGGGCCTTATAATGGGCATCTAATTAATAATTCATAACACTCCCCCTGATGACCATTATAACGATATTGTAGTAAAACGCGTAAGATGCTGCCACATTAAAAACCTTATTAGGAAAACTCTATGGGAAAAACCATAGTTAAGGGAGAAAGAGTGCAGCGCGCATTTACTCCCCCTCATGTGTATCTCTATCTAGGTCTTTGAGACGTCGTAATCCAATAAGTTGAACCAACTTCTTGAAAGTAGCAGTTAGAAACGCCTTGGTAAATAAATCTGCCAAATTATCGCTTGAGCGGATCTGTAGAACACAAACATCGTCATTCTTCTGCAAGTAATGTGTAAAGAAGAATTTCGGTAGAATGTGCTTTGTTCTAACTCCATTGATCTAATCTTCCTTAAGTTGAGTGATGCAAGCAGCATTGTCTTCATACATAATTGTTGGAGCTTATTTCCTTTTTGATAAACCACAATCTTCTCGAATATGTTGAACCTTAATTATACGCACTTTCGACTGGCTTCATGAATAGCTAAAATCTCAGCATTGTTAGAAGATGTGGCTGTCATGGTTTGCTTTATAGAACACCAAGCAATAGTTGTACCACCATATGTGAATACATATCCTGCATGTGATCTGGCATTATGGGGATCAGATAAATATCCAGTATCTGCAAAACCAATCAAATCTCCTTTGGATGGGTTAGAAAATAATAAACCCATATCTTTTGTTCCTTTGAGGTAATAAAATATATGTTTAATCTCATTCCAGTGCCTTCGAGTTGGACATGAGCTAAACCTTGACAATAAATTTATCGCAAACGATATGTCAGGTCTCGTATGACTCACAAAGTACATCAAT